CGATAAACCGGACGGATCTCTCTCTGGAAGGTTTGCAACGTTGCACGCGATAAAAACCTCCACAGTTTTCCGGGATCGATATTACGCTATTAGGCAAACAGTTTCACCGGATAGCATCTTCATTCCGACGCGATTCGTCGAATAAGCGTCTAACGATATTTACCGACGCAACGTTCCGCAGCCATCTTCGAAAGCAAACAAAGTAACCGGGAGTCTATTCACGAAGTTTGAGCCGGCCATTGTGAGGCTGGAGAAGAACGCCGTGGAAGCCGGCAACAACGAACGACGCGTCCTGTGAATATTCAACGAGAACGAAATTTGTTCGACCAATTAGACGCCATTGTCATTCTTATTTCGCGGCTCGCTTCATTGTTTCGGCAACTACGAGCTCCGAAGCGTCAAAACGAACAAAGGGATACCTTCGTGGCCCTGGTGTCCCGAGGAAATTCTTCGTCGATTGTGCGATCGCGATTAATCGCCCAGTCATCCGTGGCTGTTCCGTATCGTGGCAACTTCAACGTTCCGGAAATTGTTTCGCCGCGTATCCTTTCGCTGTTGCAACTTCCTCCGAGACGCTCGAAAACACGTCGACCTCGATGATTTTTACGCTCGGGTCCGACTCGATGGGTGGAAAGCGTATGTAATCGATAACACGCTCGAATTTATCACGGGAAATACATACAGATGCGTAACCAGGGAGTATCAAATATCATTCGACGGATCCTGTTGTGCAACCGGACCATGTCGAAGCATAACAATGGACGACTGGTGCATCGTACAATTCGTTAAACCTGCATTTATATTAGGCAGCTTCCGGTCGACCGACCACGTATCGTATTAAACGTATGACCCGAGCGATACGCAAACAAACTAACGAAGTAAAATTCTCGTCGACGGGCGAGTTTACGATCGATCGAATAAATTATTTCGTACAAGGTAACACGACGAAATTTTTTGGGCCGATTCTCACCTGAATGTGGTATCCAGCGTACAGGGTGGACGCAGATCGAATGATCGATCCGTTCTGGCAATTAATCGAATTAAACGAAACGATCGCGTGTAAACGATCGCGGGGCACACACCTTTTTCACTTTCACTCGGCGCTCGACGACTCTCGGGGAACGCGAATGGCCGTCGCTCGTTAGCAGCGATCGAAAGGTCTTGGAGAATTTCCCTAACGGGATTTCTGTTCGCAGGCAAACGTGTAAAAAAAAAAAAAGAATAAAAGACAAACCCGGGGTGAGAAAAAAGGATGCCTCGAGCGTGGCTCCGCGTCGCTGAATATTTATGGGGTCGCATAAACAAACGTGACCGACCGCAATCACCGCGAAATTATTTCGCCATTCGACGATACGCCGCGAACAATTTGCATACCGAAGTATGCGACACTGGCGAGAAGGAGGGCCGCCGGAAAAGGCGATTTAGAACGGCCAAACGAACCATTTAAACTTTCAACGATACAAATACGCCTGCCTGGCTTCCAAATGTGAATTAACATAATTTTTGTTCGTACGCTTAGATTACCATTGCGTCAAAAATATGTAAATTTTTCCTTTTGCAGCTTTATTTCCGGACCAGGGAAACGCGTGTATGAATAATTTAACCAAAGCTAGACACCGTGAGGACACAACACGTATCGTGGCACAAAGAACCGTGCGAATTTTATCCTCTTCAATGAGTTCTCGCGACTGTTAAACTTGGGCGGCCACGGTTTACGTTCGCTTTGAGTGCGTTCTGAAATTCAAAGGAGCAGACCATTCGAAAAGGAACTCCTTGCACCGAGTTATTGAATTCTGTCTCGTTGAAATTAAATCGCTCGAGTAATACGTTACCTTTGGTTAACAGAAAATTCGAATTTCGGAATACGTGTAACGTGTCTGGATTAGGAACCCTGTATATTGTCCGATTGTTACCCGATATTCAAGGGCCTATTACCGTTTGATGCACCGAAACTGCACTATTACATATACTTGGTAAAAATTGCATACGTATTCAATATCGTGTAATTCGGTAAACTCCAGAGGGTTGGATATTGCAAAATGGGCAAATGTAATGAATTCACGCTGTACGAATCGAGATGGTTCGATCAAACGTATAAAGCGTATCGAAATCGTTGAAAAGGAACGTGAAATTTGATAGAGCCAAAGAAGTCGCTTACTGTTATAAACGGTCGGGTTTTCAAGCGAGTTTATTTAAGAATTAAACGTTCTACTTCGCCGGAGATAAAATACGAGTAGGAGGAACTTTCGTGTACGCGATACTCGGTCGAACTGGAAGGAATGAGCTCGTTCGAGTGGATCTAAACGCCAGAAAATCTAGGGAAGAGCTACTTTTAACAAACGGAATGTAGAAGGTTTCCGTTGCAATTGGATCGGGAATATGCTGACCGAAGAAACGGGAAAGTTAAACTTCTTAGACGAATTGAAATTCAACCTCGCTGGGAAAGATGTCTGAATATTTTTGCTCGATCCAGCGAAGAATTTCCCGTGGAAAGTAAGCTGACTCCGCACCGTGGAACGATATTGAGAGAAATAATATAGACAAAGAAACGGAAATAAATGTTATTTTAAAGGTACACGATAAAACGCAATGTTGTAAAATTTTATTGAAACGTATCGTTACGGAAATCGATTAAGTAACCGATTGCAATTCTAATCGATTAGTCCCCGACTCTGATCGAAGTGTTCCCGGCCTGGTGAAAATTTTACTTATTCCGTCGGTGACACGACGCGTTATTTACACGACGCAGCCCTGGGCTCTGGGGAACGGAGAAAGAGGAAATCCAAATAGCGAGATACGCGACACGCGAAAACGAATTGCAACGTCGAGCGCGTGATTTTTGGCGCGAGTAATTCGATTCCTGTCAGAATACCATGGTTTTTCGCGCCATCGCGTTCGAAGAATCGCACGAAGACCATAATAACGAGGCTACAACAGGCGATAATAAAGAAACATAGACACTGCAATCATCTTCACGCAATCTCTGTCGCCCTACGATGCCGAAATGTAGAAACTTTCGACGCCGTATATCCAAACTGTGACGTATTCGCGTGATTTCCATCAACGAGTCAAATCCAATCGTCTTGCACACGAACTAAACTAGATTTCCTATACGAATCAACATCTATGCTCGAAACATAACAAAAATCACAATTCTTCGTTTCATTTTTGCGACCCGTGTTATTTGATTCCGACCGCAGGCCATTGCCAACTATTTAAATCGTGTGAAAAGCAAGAAGCAAGAGAGATTCCGATCTCGCGGAGTTCGTGGCCTTTTAGGGGCAATAAAACACGACGATAAACGGAAACGAACGATGCGAAATTACCGATAGACACGGGATTGCGATTGGTCACGCACGCAGGAAGGAACCGTACAGAGAAGGAGAGAGAAAGAGAGAGAGAGAGACGGAGAGAGACGTAGATACTCGTGAACGTCCGAAACACGCGGGAGTTCCTGCGGAACTGACTGCCACTTCCGCAAGACCGTGGAAAAATCACGAGTCCATCCCCTCCAGTGGTCCCCGGGTCACGTGACTGCAACCCCTCGCGCACCCTCCCGCTCGTGGTTCTACTATAACTGTTACTCTGGCAGTGGCGGTCGATGAATGATCGTCCAAGCCACTGGGGGTTGCGTGCAATTTCGAACATATTGCCTGTTTGTGAAATATTGGGGGTCAGGAGACGCGAAACCGACCAATTTTGCTCTTTTTTTAAGCAAAGCCTTTTACGGATCGCGAAGGCCTTTATTAAGAATTTTTCTAAACCCTACGGGGACCGAGTTATGGACAGTCGTGGACCAGAGGGGAGGAAAGACCTCGTCGAGCATTAGTTTCCCATAGTTTTTTATTGGAAAACTTTTTACTGTCACGACGCGTGGGATGTCACAATTTGGTCGACGCGAAAACTAATAATTGGCGTTGTCGTAACCCGATGTCGCCCGGTGTCGTGAGATTAAATTACCTGGAAATGATCGAGATGGAAGCGTCGTGACGTAATGGCACCAGATGCTACGAGTTTTTACGTAAACTTTGATTTTGGTATTTTGTAAAATTGTCCCAAGAATAAAAATGAAATATTATTGGTAATAGCGTGGGCATACTGCGGTATATGCATGCCACATTCATACGGTCAAAAGTTTACTGTACGAATAGTGTATGTCCTTTGGCATGGCCACACAACGTTTGCATAGAATATTAAATTAAGAGACAGAGTTCGGAGTGTCCGGTAAATTCAAACGTCCGTAAAATAACGTCTACACGGAACCAAAACGGAGTTAAGTTCTAAATTATGTACTTTCGAACATAGTAAAATCCCTTTTTACGTTAGAAATAACAAATCCAGCACAAATTGGGAAAACTAGCAAACTGCACATATGTTTACCTTGTTCCTCGTATCAGAAAAAAACCAATAACGACTCACCTGCAACAGAAAAAGAAAAAGGGAATGTAATTAAACTATATCGCTTGAAAACTACAATAATATACCGTCTCGCTGAGATTAAAATTCAAACAAGAAGTAGAAATTCCGGAGACGAATAAAATCGAAGGGTGTTATCGAACGAAAGAAGGTAGACACCGATCTACGGGGCACTCGAATTCGAAGTAATATGACGTTTCGATCGTGTTTCTGCTCCGTAACGCCCAGTCTCGCGCCTCTTTGATCCGAAGATCATGATTATGAGCTACCCCCCAACGCGCCGCTATCGAGGGAGTATTGGATTCGGAGTAACTAGCCCTCTCGTCGTCATCCGAGTCACAAAGGGACGAGTCCGGGAGACCTGCCAGACTTCAGTCGACGCGAGGAACATCTCCCCCGGGGGTTATTTTCGCTGTCGTAGTCTAAAATCGTTGTCAAGTCAACGAGATCCGTCTTCATTCGCGGTCCCGGTTTCAGTGTCGCGTTTTACTCGAACGAAACCAACACTTTTCACGCAATTTCGCGTTACGTCTCGGCCCAATTAGAACCGTATAATTATGGTTGACGCGATATTTGTCGCTGACCTTGCTGATCCGGCGGGCCTGACGGCGTCGTACCGAACGCTGAGCTTTCGTCGCTGATTCCTCGGGCTTCTGAGAGCTTCTCTGGCATCCTTGGAGAGCTTGACGCTGCCACGGGAGATTTGCGAGCTCAGCGGCTGATAAGTGTCCGCGTTGCAGCGACGGATGCAGCCGCAGCAGTTGGACATCGCGTTCCCGGGACGCGGAAAAACTGGAGCGTTCTTTCGAGCGCGTTGAACTGCGATGGAATACGGTTCGACGAACTTTACACGGCCTCGAGGATCCCCGAAAACGCGGTGCAAACGCGAAACCCGGTCGAGCTCGCGTATCGATTCGCGGATCGTGGCGTCGGGCGTCTTCTTTCGAGCTTCGAGGAATCTCTCGTCTCCACGGCGTCGTTTGAACGCGTTTCGCGCGAACAGCTGCGAATTGCAACGCGGACACGACGGCTTCCGGGTTCCTTGACACGTCCCTCGCGACCGGATTCGTAAATACCGTCCGCGCTTCTCTGGAATTTCGGGAAACGGTTCGAGATTTTCGGATTTAATTGGACAATTATTCGGAAGAGGCGAGGATTTCGATTGCACGGCGATCGTAGAGCGTTCGCTCGAAAGATCTTGCGTTTAATAGCTCTGTGTCATCGAGAAATCTATGGGATTTTTTACGTATTCGATGGGGTCTCTTCGTGAACGTATAAAAACGTATACGACGCAAGTTAGACTAGAATACCCAAAACACAAAGGGTGATCAACCCGTTAACCAAAGAAGTATTATTATCGTTATTATTATTGAAATTCGAGAAACACGAGAAGCCAGGGACGAAGGTTGTAACTGGACAGAACGCGAAACAATGCTGCTGGCGAACCGGTTGCGCCGCCGATTGCTCGTCGTGCATTTCAGGCACGTATATGCATAGAAAACGTCGTTCGCGGTACAAGCTTTTTATTCGTTTCCCATCCTTGTCCCCCCGTTGTTCTCGTGCCTCGTCGCCCGACCGGACCGGCACCTTCGATAATTGTTCGAAGAGTCTTAATATTCAAGCCGCGCCCGCTACGCTGATTCTACATCGCGTACGAGCCTCTAACGGTTTACGATGCTCTTTCCGTACCACCGCGCGTCCATTCTTTCGATTTTTCTGCCCGCCCGAACCGTCGTCGATCGAATTTAACGCTCGATAAAAGACAGGATAAATCGGGTACGGGTTATTCCACGAGAAATTGCTCCTATTCGATGATCCTTTTGGAACTCGGACTCTCGACCATTCTACGACGAATCCAGTTTTCGGCAATAAACGAATCGCGAAAGGAAATGGAAAAATGCGTGGAGATCCTTGGCGTTGTTAACGCGCGAGCGTAAAATATTTACGAGAACACCGGTCAACGAAATTGTTAAATTTTCATCGACGAGGTAGAAACGATTTCTCTTCGTTGGATCGCGAATCTTTTGCCGGAGCACACAGAAAATCGACCGTCGAATTTCGATCGACGGATTCGCGAGTCGTCGGGTTCTTTCGCGGCGGCAGTTTGAAACGGTACTGACCGAGAGAACTTCGCTCCGAATGAACCGAGGAACGAAGACATGGAAGAGGGCTCGAAGAGGAGCGAGGAGTAGAGGAGACGCACGTGTTCGCGCGTATGTCACCTAGGGATGTTTGTACGCGGCTCCGGCTCGATTTTATGCGACCAACGCACCGTGGGGTAACGCGCGAAAAAGCTAGCCAGGCGCCACGAAAATTTCTATCGCAAATTAAACTTCGAAACTATCGTTGCAAGTTTTTTTTATGGAAAACTTCGGTGACTTGTACTATTACAAAGAGGCGGGCGTCATTTGGGAATTATTTGGCATCCTTTATATTATGGTTGGAGGTACTATAAACTGCTGAATAGTCAACGTCAGTTCGTGTAGCTCGACTTTAAAACGGTGAAGATTTTTTAAGTAATCTGAAGCCTGCAGCAGTGTACATACATACATCTTACAAGAGTGTCACACATCATTTAATCGATACAGTGTAACATAGCAAAGACGATGGTTTGGAATGTGACAGTGAATGGTCCAGAAGGGAACAATTTAAAGTTCTATAAATAAGCGTCGTATTTAAGACGACACGACGGTCTTCGTGGTCCAGAATTCCGCGCGAGACTAAGAGTGGATCGCGGGTTGTGGCAAACTTCGTTCATAGATCTCCCTAATTTGTACGAGACTCTCGGAATTTTAGAGAGTCGGGAATTAAGTAACGAAATGTTTTTAACGAGACGTGAGAACGAAATTAAAATGATACGCCGTATGATTCACTGGTAAGCAAAATGGCTTCCGTCGAGAGTGGCTGGTGAAAAACCGCAAGTAACAAACTGTGGATAAAAACGTAGCGTCTATTTCGATTCGCGACTGCAAGCTTGATCATTGCTAGGCGATCGATGTCGATTACCCCTTCGTTCCACGAAACGCAACAGGATCGACTAGTTCCCCTTTAAACGAGATAATTTCGCGCAATGACCAGCCCTTTTGTACTTTTACTGAGCTCGCCGGCCGTGTTAGAGTAAAGCTGGTAAGTGTTTCCCAGAAGGCTGCACTGGCAACTTCTTTGCGCATTAGGCAGTGGCACGAAAACACCGTGGAAATAAGAATTCCAGGTCCCGGCGAAGGAACTCCGGTTCTTTGACGAGCAACAGCATTAAGCGCAACGAAACAAGAGCAGAAACTGAGGCTGCACGATTGAGAAACTGCAAAACAAGCTGCGCTCGAATTATAACCCGACGAAAGAATCGACACCGGGGCGTGCTAACTTCCATTAACTAGATCCCAACACTTTGTATAATCTTCTCGTAGCATTCGAAAGAATTTACCATTTTTATTTCGTACAGGGTTCTCTGGTTGTTTTCGAACGTCCAACATTGGCACCGAATTTCGTAAGAGTAAAGTGCGCTTGCAAAGCCGAGAATACACGGAATATATTAACCTTTTGCACTCGAATGGCGAGTGAGAGGCGACGATAACTGTTCATGTTTGACTCGAATAGTTTCCTAGAGACACGATGTCACTTAAAAATTTCTGTACGCTCTGTGTTTGTACAAAAAATTCTTATTGACTCGGTGAAACTAATAAAGGAAAATTTGTTTCCTTCACGTTGAAAAGAAAATTAGTGCTTTTCTGTTTCGGAGCATTCCGTTTTGCCGCGTTAATTACAATTACGGGACACCGTGTAGAAATATTATTCCCCGTCGTTATCGGGCCGCCAGCCGGAGAGACGAAACGCAAAAGAAGCTGAAGTCCCGAGGAACGTCCGGTTGTTGATCTGGCTGGCCGACAGACTACAGAAGTGCATGTGTCGGGAGAACGCACTCGGCGAGTATGCGCCGCTGATGAACGTTCTTATGCGGATGCGATCGCATATGTTCGCCAATGGCGTAGCAACCGATCATAACTCAACGCGAATACCTTTTCTGTGGCCGATCCGCCGCGACCGTACCATAGTTAATCCGTTAGGCGCGATATAAGAAGCAGAAGAGAACTCGTCTCCTAACCGCGATACCCACCTTTTCAACCTCCGTTTTCTACAAAATATTAACGCGATTCGAAGAATTTTTTAAACGAGAATAAAATTTCATTCGCAGGTTACTCGATTACAATTTGTCTGCTTTCACGGCCAGTGTCTTCCGCGTTCGATGAATATTCGGGAACGTGAACGCGATGGGAACGAATTCCCGTCGATCGCGTCTAAATCCGTGACGCTCGCATTTAGGACAGAATTTTTCATTAGCCCCCCTCTCCCCCTTGTGACGAGTCGACGCGACAGCAGTATCATTTTAATTGCAGCGTGATCAATTAGCTAGAAGCAATTCCATTCGAACACGTTACACGAGAAACGAGACGATCGACGCCCGGATATATTGGAATTCCATAACGACGGCCATTGTGCGCGTCGATGAAATTAAAAAATATAATAGCCGAGGGATGTTCCGGGCGTGCGTGAAAATCGCTCGTAATCGTTACTCGCCAGTAAATTTTAATCGAGAAAATAATTGTTGTCCTGTAACTTTGTTTCCGTTGTAACAGGGTCTCCGCGTTGTTCTTGTAAGCTATCAATAAGGAGAGTTGGTAGTATCCTTTGTTAGTATGTGAGTAAAATCACAAGACCGTTCGATTATATCGACGACGTCCGAAATGAAAAATTCCACGTAGGATAGTTCGAGCGTGTCGTTGACGCGGACGTTTGAACGATTCCCGCAAATATTGGGCCGACGTTTAGTGCGATCATGCGAGTACCCCTGCTCGTCATAATGAACGTACCAGGGGGAGGCGTTCGAAAGGCGTTAAAATTAGTTTTCGCATCATCGAAACGCGATCCCAGCCTACGGTTGCTCGATACGATTTTCGCGAGTGCTTCAGAAGCGAAATTAAATCGAGTCCAAAATTAACCGTATCCAATCGTTATCGACGTGACGGGCAATTAGAATTTCTTTTTTTCTACACGGGGTGTCCCTGAAATCGGAACCAAAACGATCGAAGGACCATTTTTCAAAGTTCATCGCGCCAAAGAGTACATAAAATAAACTTTGATCCGCGATGCATCCTGTACACTTGTTAGTAGAATACATCGCGGGGCGAAGACGTCTGCCTGGAACCCGTGGTTGAACAAAATTTGCGGAGAACAAATTTGTCGTTCCGGATACGTAAAGCCTCGTTGAAGTTCACGTTCCGTAGCATACATAAATTTCGAACCGGTGGTCCGAATTCTCGCGATGTTTTACCGTTTGAATTTTACATTCCTCCTCGTCTAGCTATCGTGTTCGTTAATAAAACAGCGCGGTCCAAAAGGCAGACGTCCGGGAACGCGGTGGAAATTCGGAAAATTCGGGAAAGGAATGCACGCTCTCCGAGAGGCAGTCGACGTTAGATAACTATTGCTCATAATTGCACCGACGTTTCGACTGCATCGACGCAAGTTCCGCCGAAAGCTTCGATTAAATTGCAAAGATTCTGTACCGTGGGAGCTCGATTATTGCAAATAACTGGGCGCGTGCGCGTGGAATTTTGCATTTTTCAGCACACTTCCGACGATCGATGTGAAATCGATTTACAAAGAAACGCACAATCGCCCTAATAACGTGGATATTATGTCAAAGTTTTTTCCAAACCGGGAGTTTCCCGGGACCAGGGCAAATTTCGAGCGTACGAACGAATTTGGAAA